ACGATGAGTAGATACTCACGTGGTTGCTAAACCTCTGTAGGCCCCAAAACCTAGACCTCAATACAGCCAGTGCAACCCCAAAGCCAAAGCCCACCCCTAAGCCCTACGTCCGAAATTCTGCAGCACATGAGAGGTCCACACCCGTCAAGGCCTCGATTGTAATGCAACGGACTTAGTTGCAGGTCAAGCTCATGCTGCTAAGTCGTAGCATCACGCCCCACTTTCGGCCCCGAGTAGTCTTCGCCCTTCGGACGGTCTCGCGCACCTTGACGCGCTGGCAAAGGCGACGGCAAAAGCGACGGGCAGCGACAGGATCACTTCGCGAAGCTGAAACTGGCCCATGCTTTGGACCCTTCCTGGGAGGCATGTATCCATGTAGGGCATATGTAAGATCATATCTATACATATGTAAACGTAAAACCAATATGCTACGGTAGAAGCAGTCTGTAAGCAGTTTGTCAGCATATACCAAACTGATCAAGTTTCATACCTGCAGGTTGCCTGCCAGAAATGGTCAATGAGTCGTGCTTTGGACGCTATGCTTTCTTCGGATGCTAGGTAGTGCGCCCCTGGCTCTCCATGTCCGCGTTCTGGGTTAGAGGCAAAAAGTGATCGAACCGTCTGCTTTTCATGAGGCTGGAGATCCAGGGCAACAATCTTTGCATACGTCCATGGTCTCACGCACATTGACGCGACAGTGAAAGTGCCGTCAGAACAGTAGACGAACCACCCAGCTGATCCAAATGGATGCCTTGTTTCTGAAGGTGTGCCTGGAGTCTCGTGCTGCACAATACCAGTGCTATCACCATGATCGGTTTATGTGTGCATGATATTGTATGCACATAGGCCAAACTGGCGTGCAGCTGAGGGCTTAGGTGACACCGTAACAAGCTCGAAGTGAAAGAACAGCGCCATCAAGCAAGTTCGTCAGTTGATCGCGCGAAGTCAGGAAGACGCGCATGCATCGTAGCCTCTCCGAAAATCATAGGAGCCTTGCAGCCTATGGATTCGCCAGAACTGCAACTCAAGCAAAATCAAATCTTTACTACAGTCTAGCCTTTGGCTAGTGCTGCAACTCTTTCACATCCCCAGTGCCAGTCCCATCATCGTACTGTGTATGCATGATATTGAATGCACATAGGCCAGACTGGCGCGCAGCTGAGGGCTTAGGTGACACCGTAACAAGCTCAAAGTGAAAGAACAGCGCCATCAAGCAAGTTCGTCAGTTGATCGCGCGAAGTCAGGAAGACGCGCATGCATCGTAGCCTCTCCGAAAATCATAGGAGCCTTGCAGCCTATGGATTCGCCAGAACTGCAACTCAAGCAAAATCAAATCTTTACTACAGTCTAGCCTTTGGCTAGTGCTGCAACTCTTTCACATCCCCAGTGCCAGTCCCATCATCGTACTGTGTATGCATGATATTGAATGCACATAGGCCAGACTGGCGCGCAGCTGAGGGCTTAGGTGACACCGTAACAAGCTCAAAGTGAAAGAACAGCGCCATCAAGCAAGTTCGTCAGTTGATCACGCGAAGTCAGGAAGACGCGCATGCATCGTAGCCTCTCCGAAAATCATAGGAGCCTTGCAGCCTATGGATTCGCCAGAACTGCAACTCAAGCAAAATCAAATCTTTACTACAGTCTAGCCTTTGGCTAGTGCTGCAACTCTTTCACATCCCCAGTGCCATTCCCATCATCGTACTGTGTATGCATGATATTGAATGCACATAGGCCAGACTGGCGCGCAGCTGAGGGCTTAGGTGACACCGTAACAAGCTCAAAGTGAAAGAACAGCGCCATCAAGCAAGTTCGTCAGTTGATCACGCGAAGTCAGGAAGACGCGCATGCATCGTAGCCTCTCCGAAAATCACAGGAGCCTTGCAGCCTAGCGATTCGCCAGAACTGCAACTCAAGCAAAATCAAATCTTTACTACAGTCTAGCCTTTGGCTAGTGCTGCAACTGTTTCACATCCCCAGTGCCATTCCCATCATCGTACTGTGTATGCATGATACTGAATGCACATAGGCCAGACTGGCGCGCAGCTGAGGGCTTAGGTGACACCGTAACAAGCTCGAAGTGAAAGAAAAGCGCCATCAAGCAAGTTCGTCAGTTGATCACGCGAGGTCAGGAAGACGCGCATGCATCGTAGCCTCTCCGAAAATCACAAGAGCCTTGCAGCATAGCGATTTGCCAGAACTGCAACTCAAGCAAAATCAAATCTTTACTACAGTCTAGCCTTTGGCTAGTGCTGCAACTCTTTCGCATCCCCAGCGCCATTCCCATCATCGTATTATGTATGCATGATATTGAATGCACATAGGCCAGACTGGCGCGCAGCTGAGGCTTAGGTGACAGCATAGCAAGCTCAAAGTGAAAGAACAGCGCCATCAACTAAGTTTGTCAATTGATGAGTCCAAGAAAGAAAGACGTGCATGGTATCGTAGCCTCTCCGAAAATCATGCAGCATAGCGATCGGCCAGATCTGCAACTCAAGCGAAATCAGATCTTCATTACGCTATAGCCTCTGGCTACTGCTGCAACTCTTTCGCATCCTTCAGTGCACCCTGCAAAAGCCTCATGAAGGAAGTCTGGTGGCGAGCGCTCGCGGCCGAAATCTGCAGCTGTCCAATTTCTGGAGTTCACAAGATCCAGCCGTGCACCTGCTGCGATGAGAGCAGCCGCTGACTCATGCTGCCCACACAGCACTGCCGACATCAAAGGCGTCATGCCGTTGCAGTGATAACAGTACGCCTCCCAAACGCCTTCCCTGCCCAGCCGGTACTGCAAAGCCCCAAGGCCCTCAGAAATTTCGAAGTTCGAGGCGGGGAGGAGCGATCTCGTCCGTTGATGATTGACGTTGGCCCGCAACTCCACAAGCCTCTGCACGAACTCAGCCGAGCCTCCACGAAACACGGCACAGGTAATCAGGCTCTCGCTCAGCTCCCATTCCACCAGCTCCCAGGGCCGAAGTGCTTTCTGCGCCCAGAGCTCCTCAACGGCCGCCTGGGATCCATACAGAGCACCGACCGCCAAAGCTGAGAAGCCGAAGATGTCCCGTGTAGCAGGGTCGAAACCGGCTTGCAGGAGCATCTGGATGCCTTCGCGGTTATTCGCAAACGCAGCGCACTGGAGGGAAGGAGTGAGGCCCGGGTGGAGTGCGGCATTTGCTGAGATGAGCAGGCGTGCGGCCTCATTATGCTTCATGAGTACGCAGATGGTCAAAGACGTGTTCCCCGGCGCTGCGCCGCACAGAGCCTGCTCCTGACTCGTCTGGCAATCAATGTCTGCCCGGCAGGACAGCAAGCCCCGAATCACCAGCGGATCACCTCCCAGGGCAGCATAGTGGAGAGGGAACCAGCCACCTGCATCTGCTTCATGCACTTCTTGAAACCCGTTCTGGTGCATGAAGCGCGCAGCCGCCGCGGATGCATCGTCCTGGCCTGGGAGGAGCTGAAAGCCGGGAACCGGCTCTAGCAAACTCGCATGCAGGTTGCGCATATGGACCGATTGCATGTTCAGCAGCACACGGTAGCCCACCAGGTCCCCATTTGCCAGCAATAGGTCTAGCTTGCGCTCGATCGCACCCAGCAAAACGGGACCCAAAATCTCCTTGTCACGTTCGACCGTAAAGTCGCCCTCGCCAGGGGGTCCCCCCTCAGCACCAGCAACTGTGGCAATCGCTTCAACCATGCGCCCATCGCTGATCATGATCCATGTATGGTCTGGTGATAGCTTCCGCATGATCAGTTCCATGCGGCACCAACCCCTCTGGTCCCAGGTGCATGATGAAAAGGCTCGCAAACCCTCAGGACCCTCCGACTCCACCACTGGACAGAGCGCAAAGAAATACTCACATCGAAGCACGTATGAAGGGATGCTACCCACGGCTTTGGAGAGGTCGTCTTCTTCACCCAAATGCCCGCTTGCCTTGCTGCCTAACTGTGGGCAGGAGAAGTAATCGTACCATACAAAGATGGTAGATGTCCGAAATGCCTGTGTCGGCAGTGGTTGGCAATGGCAAATGACCCGCGAGTACCCATCTGGCGGGATGCTCTCCAGCTCCGTCATGATGTAGGTCAGCGCCTCCTGAAGCACGCGGAATTGCTTGAAGTCGGGATCTGGATGATCGTAGCCGACCCACTGATGCGAAACCTTACCGTTGTTGAGTTGGGAATGAAGGAATGAACCATTACCAATTTGTTTAAAGGGATTCCTATAAAGATGGTTGGGATGATTCCTTCCTTCATTCCCAATTAACCTCAAACCCTAAACCCCAATAGCTAAACCCTCAACCCTAAACCTTTGACCATCCCTAGTAACTAACCAACAGTAAAAATAACCCTATAACCCTAAACCTAAACCCTAAACTCCCAACTTACCGACAGTAAGAAACGAAGGCTGCGGTTCCCATGCCCTGCTTGAATTCCTCAGCCACGCCAGATGCCTTGAGCACCTCGTGCGGCTGGATGCACGTCATCTGCAAGATCTCCTTCACGGACAGGTTGTGGAGTTAGGGTTCTGGGTTCTGGGTTCTGGGTTTTGGGTTCTGGGTTTAGGGCTTATGGCTTAGATCTCCTTCATGGACACCACGTACATGGGGAAAAGAGCCGGCTCCTCACACGCGATGTCTCTTGCTTGCCGCCGCCCCTCCGCGAACCTCTGGAGCGGAGTTTGGCCGAAATGTTTGCAGCATTCCATCCCTAGTATCGAAAAAATGTGATGAATTGATGAAGGAGGATGCTGAGAAACGGCTGCACGGCCAGAAGCTGGTGCAACAAGCTGTTTCAATCCTGCAAGTTCGTGGATCTTTTGGCACACAGCAGCCATCAGTGACCAAGCATCGCGCATTCACAAACTCGATCGCGGAGCTCTGGTTCTCCACTACATGATGGCCCCATTGTATTCACATGATAGCTGCAGGGTTTCTACTTTGCAGTTGGGGTTTAGCACAAGTCCGCTTTGGGCTTCAGGACGGTCGCAGAAGTACGGCGTGCAAGCATCATTTTTGTCCGTGTCCGGCGCAAGTGCAGTAGAAGTCCAAACAGCTTATAAAAGCAGCGCCAGTCAAGATGAAGCAGCTGCAGCAGCAGGTTGCCAGAGTCTGCTTTATCAGCAAGACATGAAGGCGCAGAAAAAGGAGGACCCTTTTTTCTCAACCCTAAACCCTAACCCTAAACCCAAGGGAGGCGGAGCATGAGGGGAGGATCATTGCTGCTTCTGGTTCTGCAGTGAATACTGCAACTCTGAGCAGATCGGACCGAAACATCCAACTCACCAACTCCAAGATCATCCATGCCTTAGGGTTTAGGATTGATGCTTTAGGGTTTCCCCCTCCCCAACCCCTACGCTAGACCCTAAACCGTACTTCCTTAAATCCTTCGACCCTGCAGTCAGTCTGAAAAGCAAGCCCCGCATCAAGCTTAATAATTGCCGTAGTAGAGCTTCGAACTTATGATGTAAGGCGTAACAGTACGGTGGTTCTAGAGTATATCATAGCATATTACAGGGCATTTCCCACCAACTACTTCGAGCTCTATATGCCTTTCAAGATTACGAATGCGTCCATATAAGGACTAGAATACCGGGAGATCCTTACCAACTACTCTGACCTCTATCCCTAAACCCTAAAACCTAATCCCCCAAACCCGAAAACCCCAAGTCTGACCTTGAAACTGCGAACATGATCCATAGAGGCCTGGCTCCGGAATCAGGAGTTCAACAAGGGCACCGGGGGTTAAAATTTCTTGAAGGTATGAGGGTGCGGAGCTTCGGGTTTAGGATGTAGGTTCCAAAAGTCTGTGATCGCGTGGTTTTTCCCTGTGATTCGGCGCGTTGCGGTCCTCAAGTGCAGAACTGTCATCGCTTTTGGCGTTTCGGGGCTTACGGGTTTAAGGGGTTCAGGGTGAAACATCGGTCCCACCTTACCCCTAGTACTGACTGTAGCTATTCTCAGCCATGAACCTACAATCCCATCATACCCAGTGATAATACAACTCCAAGCTTCAGGCATCCTGCCAAGCCATAATCGAACCCTACAAGACTTCGAGGTTCAGGTGTTGTGGAACGAACTAACATACGGAAACAGCATATTTCAGTCAGAGCTTCCAAAGAGTCCACGAGCTCCTAAACTTATTGCTTTGTGGAAGTCTGCCTTGTATCTACCCCGGCATAATATAGAGGGCTCTTGACAATTAGAGCAGGGCTGAAAAGACATCGTAGCATATCTGTAAAAGGACTCTTTTTTCACAAGGGACTCAACTGCTGCCCTTTGTAAAAGGACTATAAAGGGGTAGTTATACCAATCATCAAGACCTCTGTAGTATAGCACTTTCTTGCGACAGCAGTCGCGCCCATATCTCTTCCGCTCGATGCGAGAAGTATTTTTGCAATCGCCCTTGGTGCCTCGTCTGCACAGCAAACACCAGGACTGCCGAAGTGGGCTCTGATCTGGTTTCAGCCTTATCTACATGGGCACTGATGAGTTCGTAGACTTATAAGTATATAAACATAGACACTTACATAAACGACACAACAAAAGTGTGTAGAAATATGTATATATATATATACATATATATATATATATACATATATATACATTATACATTGATATGTGAATATTAGTATTTGAGACAGTATTACACCTGATACCATACATATATATATATATATATGTATATTTGTACCTCTCTGTTGTACATGCATGTAACATGTAGATACAGCTGTGATTCCTGAAACACTATTACACAGTCAAACCTGAGATGCATTGTGCCAGAAACCGCTCTGGACATCAACGCCTGGATACCGAAAACAAGCAATGAGCAACAACTCTGAACTGTCATGCTGTCAGATTATTGGGGTTGCACTAGCATTTGCCTGAAAGGAAACAAGATCCAACAACGTAACGCATAGTTTGGCACCACAGAACCTTACACCCGCAACCCTCAACCCTGGCCCGATTAGAAGGCAGGTTGTGGTGTACTGTGATATAACTCGGTAGAAATACAGCTTCTGGGTGACTATACAGAGACTCTGTTGCTCTGCGGAGCCCGATATTAACTCTATCATCTCCATCACGACGAACCCGGCCCTAGTCTTTCAGAGCTCAGCTTCATTCATTGCTGACTTCCTGCTTCAAAGGCTCCAAAGGTGGGATAAAGGTCGGTGTGGTAATCCCGAAATCAGAGTCCTTGCAATATAAGGGATCCTTAATCCTACCCTCCTTCCTCCCACCCTTTTTGATCCCTAAACCCTAAACCCTAATCCTTAAAACCTAAGCCCGAGGCTCTAAGCTAAACCCCAGGCCCGAAACCCTCCTTCATCCCTTCATCCCACCTTTGGATGCGTCCGACTCCTTCTATGGGCCTGCTCCAGGCGCCGCAGCAAGAACTCGACGCGAGAGGACTCCAGGAAATTCACCATCCTGGGTCAAGCGGGGATTCTAGGGTTCCTCTAATTTGAAGGGATCTATGTAATTAAGGGTTCAGGGCTTTCTTTTTGTTGCCACCCGTCTAGCAATGCTCCACGGGGCAACTGAAGAGGGCTTTAGGGCTTGGGGTTTAGGATTTTAGGTTTAGGGTTTTGGGGTTTAGTCGCTCACTCTCGCACAAGGCAGGCAAGGTCCATCGGTCCGACGCAGCCCCCCCCATTTGCAAACACAATGCTCGCGTCATGGCTTTCAGTATGACTTGTAAAGAACTTGCACAGCGAAAAAAGGCAAGGGGGTTGGGGGGGGCGCAGCCGCCCCCCCCCCCCCTTTGCAAACACAATGCTCGCATCATGGGTTTGAATCGTTCATATGCTTTGAAACAAGCTTCCACGGCTAAAAAAGACGGGGGGTTAGAAGGGCCCCCCCCCCCATTTGCAAACACAATGCTCGCATCGTGGGCTTCAATCGTTCATGTGAATGTGCTTTGAAAAACGTGGCCTGATGGGTTTTAATCGTTCTTCTGCTTTGAAAAAGCTTGCACGGCTTGAAGAAGTGGGCCGTAGCCACAATGCGTGCATGATGGGTTTCAATCGTTCATATGCTTTGAAACACACCTGCACGGCAAAACAAGGCGGGGGGGTTGAGGGGGGCTCAGCCCAGCCCCCCCATTTGGAAAAAAAAAACTGTATCATGGGCTTCAATCGTTCACATTCTTTGAAACCAGATTGAATTGCTAGGCGGGGCGCGGGGGGTTGCGGGGGGGCACGCAAACACAATGCTCGCATCATGGGTTTCAATTGTTCATATGCTTTGACAAAAGCTTGCAACGCCCCGCCCCCCCCTTTTGCAAAGACAATGCTCGCATGATGGCTTTCAATATGCTTTGAAAAAAACTTGCACGGCACAAAAAGGGGGGGGGGTTGGGGTGGGCGCAGCCCCTCCCATTCGCAAACACAATGCTCGCATCATGGGTTTGAATTCGTCAATATGCTTTGCAACAAGCTTCCACGACTAAAAAAGACGGGGGGGTTAGCAAACACGATGCTCGCATCATGAATATGCTTTGAAAAACGTGGCCTGATGGGTTTAATCCTTCATCTGCTTTTAAAAAAGCTTGCACGGCTTGAAGAAGCGGGGGGTGGGGGGGGGGGGCGTAGCCACAATGCGCGCATGATGGGTTTCAATCCTTCAGATGCTTTCATCTATGCTTTGAAAAAAGTGGCCTGATGGGCTTCACGTTCACGGCTAAAAAATAAAAAAAGCGGGGGGTTTGGAGGGGGCAGCCCCCCCCCCCCCCCCATTTGAAAAGACAATGCTCGCATGGTCTTTCTTTCTTTCTTGGAAAATTTGCTTTACGTACTACAGGGTGAGGAGCCCTTGGAAAAACCACAAATCTCTTGTGCAAGGATCGCGCTGCGCCCCCCCCCCCCCCCTAACCTGTGATACACCACTCAGCTCGCAACAATCCGGACCCTAGCCTGTCCTACCCCTGCTAAAGCAAGATGCAACTCAAGTTAGCTTTCGTGATTGGGGTTGGGTCCACATCTGCACTCATCTGTGGTCCCCACCAAGTAGAAGCCGTGAGTACCCGGGGGTAGATTCTTCTCTTCCTGCACAGGAGAAACAACTCTGGGAATCTGCGTAGGGAACCTGCAGGGAATAACTTTTCCATCACGTTTTCCTTCGGTTCGTGCGGTTCGTGGTGTTTCGTTGTGCGTCATGCAGAGGCACAACATGGCACAACAACAGTCACGATTTTGGACAATCTTGTGATTTTTGTTGCAATAGTGCAAATATGTGCAAATGCAGGTCTTCAAGATTCAAGGCTCCGGACCGAGAGGTACGACTTAGTTACCTCTCAGTACAAAAGGCTCCCCGCATCTCCCCGCAGACCTTGATGGATGTCTTGGGCCCGTAGGACGCCCCGCTGGGAAACCAAAGCAGGGGAGCACCGTAGGTGAGCTCACTCATGGAGATGCGCACGGCTGAGCTGTAGCTCGTGTGGATTCCTTGGTGGGCGGTCACCCTGCACTCGACATCGAAGGGCTCGGTCGGCTTTGTGCGGCCCACGGCCACAGAGATGACCCCTGTCCTCGCGTCCAGCGTCAGGTTGTGGGACGCAAGTTCGCAGCCCTCATCCAGGGAGTAACGGTCCGCTGTTCGCGGGGATGGCTCCAAGCGAAACTCCTGCAAGCCCGGGGTAAACTGCATCGTCTCATACGAGAAAGGCGTCGGTGTCACGTGCCCGCCGCCACAGTGGCAACAGGCTTGATTGCTGCTCTGGCCGCCGACCTTCTTGTCATCACAGCCAGCGCCGCCAAGTTGCGTGCAGGTCTTTCCGTCCAAGTTCAGCCAGCCGGCTGAGTCGGTGCAGGACACGCACACGTTCCCCAGCGAGCCCTGGCGCTTCACAAAGCCGCCAGCACACTCGTCACAGGTGCTCCCGATCCCAGCTTTGGCACAGCCAGCACAGCTCGGGCTGGAGCGATCGCAGCAGGTTTGCTCGACCTGGTCAGCATCCACCGGGTACTTGGTCAGCACGAGCAAGTCGGGTTCACAATATGCTGCTTTGGCTTGGCGGGCTGTCTCTTGCCCCTTCACCTTCGCAGTCATCAACTGGCTGGCGCCCAGCTTCGTGGCTGGCCTCCCAGCGGCTTAAGCGCAAACTCCAACACAACGCCTTCTCCGTCGCCTATCCCAGTGCAGCAACAACTGGTAGTCTTACAATCAGCACACAGTTGGTGTACACCGAAAACATCCTGCTATATCCTGCTGGACCGCCTGCGAACAAGAGCCCCTCATAAGCCCTCCCATCTACCGCCTCGAGCAGCCTTGGAACAGAGACGTCTCGGAACCCACGAAGCCAACAGGGCCAACAGACCCACCGCCCCAGTCTTGGCGCTTCGGTGGGCTCTGGTGTGCCTGCAAAAGAGATTCGCTCCTGCCTGAGGAGACCTATATGGGGAGGGTACAGAAGTTCCGGGATGTTCCAAAAACACCAAGAACTGCGTGCAGTACTGTATTGTATTGCAGCCTTGCAAAGAGCTTTTGTGCTCATTGAGCACGGTCGAAAGACTATCTACCGACATTTCGAGCGAAGGACGTGCCAATTGAACCCACGCAGACTATTCACCCACAAATGGCTGCACTGCTGGATTCCCCAACCTCAGTGAGCATCTTGCCCATCTTCTCTTCAATCGCCTGCAGGCGCTCCTGAGTTTTCTCTTCCATCACCGCAAGCCGCTCCTTAGATCATCATTGGTATATCTTAGGCTCCATCACCCTCGTTTGCCGCACTTTCCAAGGGGGTGACTCCATCGTTATTTGCAAGTGTTTCGTGCACATGACATGCCTATACAACATCGGTATTTACGACACTTCGTGGCTTCGCTGCGTGCCAATGGCCGAAGCATCCAAGTCGTCATTTGCCGTGTTTCGTGCACATGACACGCCTAAAACATCGGTATTTACGGCGCTTCCTGGCTTCGTTGCGTGCCAATAATGGCCAGAGTACCCATGTCCGCACAATGATCGTGTTACCAGAGCATCCATGCCCGCACGATGATAACGTCCGTGTTACCAGAGCACGCATGTCCGCACAACGATGACGTCCGTGTTACCAGAGCATCCATGTCCGCACGATGATAACGTCCGTGTTACCAGAGCATGCATGTCCGCACCATGATAACGTCCGTGCTACCAGAGCATCCATGTCCGCACGATGATAACGTCGTGAAACTTGTGGGGGGCGACAACCTGTGCGAAAACATGGCAGGTACCCTGAAGCAGAAACTTCGGCGAGGCAACAAGTTAGGGAGATGTGCAAAGCAAGCTGGTGCTCACATAGACGCACTGAGTGCTCTGTTTGTACAGGAAGCACCGGCCATGCGCGACTTTTTGAACTGCCTGTGCATCCACGCGAATGACGTCCAAGACACTCTCCCACCCAACCAAGCCTTCGTAGACACTACGTGGCTGGACATGCCGGAGCCGTGAGTTTGAAAACTGTTCGAAAAGAGGCAAAACCTTCAACGCAAAAATGCCGAGCTTTTGCTGTCTTTTTTAAATTGCAAGAATTTACTTTGCGATTCGGACCCTCTTAATGACCACTCCTAAAAATGTGGCCAAAACATAGGCGAGAGTACATTTTTGACATTTTCTGAAGTGTCGCAACATTCTGTGCTCTGCTCTGCAAGCACTTCATGCCGCTGATTGCGCGGCAAACGAAGTACGTCATGCCATATCTTAGTATGGCTAGATATGGCCAGGTGCTCTTTAGATCTATTTAGCCTTTCCACCTTCGAAAGTACCATGCAAGGATCACGTGCAGCATCCCACAGCCTGAATTTGCCAGTGCACGCTCAGCGTGACCCCTATGCCTATATGCCTCAGTGCCCGGGCCATGCACCATCAGCGAAACAAAAGGTCCACGTCTGCGGGCGTCTTGCAGCACCCCGCCAAGGTTCCAAAGCTTGTGCCAGAGTCGGAGAGCTTCGCTGGAGCCTCAGCCGTGCTAGCAGCTAGCGCCCTATCCACCTCAAGCAACAGGACCGATGGAAGCATTGTAAGGCGAGGCACAGCGCTCCTGCATCACAAGCTTCACCTTCCGTGCCGTCTGTGCCATTGTAGCCGCACGCAACGTGCACCAAGCACCTGAAGCTGCAAACAGGTCCCGAGATGCCCTGAACAGGCAAAGCCAGCAAAGCCCAAACGCGCTTCGTGCTCAACCCCTTGTCATCCCTTGTCTCCGCGACGTTCCGCAGATAGGCCCAGTTTACTGGAAACTGCACGAATAATCAATCCACGGCACACCAAAGAAAGCGCTGCAAAGGTTGCCATGCCAGGAAGTTGGGTAGTCATTCTAGCCGCGGAAACTTGAAACGAGCTCAGTTGTTTTTGCTGGCTTGAGGCATGACTTGCGGCTACATCGCTAAACTCCAGATTTGCTGTGAACCAGACCGTGAGTTGCCTACTTGCTGCGACGGGCCCATACAATAGTGACAGAAACTAAAGCCAGCATCCATCCCAATAGAAGCACACTGTCAGTGTGTACATATAAATACAAATAAATTACACCACCGAAGACCCCAAACAGTCAAAGGCACGTCAAAGAAACAGTGGAGACGACGGGAGACAAAGGGAGACGAATGGAAACAAAGGGAGGCGAGGAGCACAGCAACCCGGCAAAGCTACTCACACGAAGGGAGACAAAGGCAGACAAAGGGAGACTGGAGCCCAGGAACCCGGCAACAATCATTAGAATGTCGGCAATCCTTAATGAATTTAGAACCCCAACAGTAGACGGTTTGGGGAATAAATAAATCATAATAAGTATAATATAAATAAATAAATATATATATTTATTTATTTATTTATTTAATATCATATCATATAATATAATATAATATAATATAATATAATATAATATAATATAATATAATATAATATAATATAATATAATATAATATAATATAATATAATATAATATATATATGCAACACACGTGCGTGCTTCGCACGCGCTTGGTGTCTGCATCCTGGCTATGTAAGGGAGTATTGAGCAAACAGGGTCGGGCAGGCAGAAGCAGAAGCCACTAAGTTCAAAATCGAAACAGCAGAGAGTATTCGGCCAATGGGGTCGGACAGGGAGAATCTGAAGCCACTAAGTTTTAAAAGCTCAATCCGCAGTCTGAAATGGGGCCTTGAAGGAGGGCCTTTCCGGTAGACACCGATGCAAACATCCAGAATCGTCAATCCCAATCAACCCAGCTGAGCCCTTGCCAGTGTCATGGAATCACAAGGTGACTTCCGATCTTTTCACGCTTAGTCAGTCTGTCTTCGCCGGCTGCTCCGCAAAGCGGCCTTGGCAGAAATGCGCTCAAGGATTCTGTGCACGTGAAGCCCGGATGTCCCGAAGGTGCTGCGTATCTGGATCCCCTTCAATGGCAAAGTGCAAAGACCAAGTCTGCGAGCGCTCTTGCTTGTGGTGGTGGGAAAATGCCCAGAACACCCATGAATGATGGCTGGCATGGCATCAGCCTCAACATTTTCACGGTTCAAGCCTAACCTCAAAGACAAGTGAAGTGACACCTGAACTGGAAGAATGTTGCGGGTACTGTGCAAGGTCCTACAGTAGTTCGATTTGTTTGCTTTAAGTGTCAAGCCCGACTCAAGCTATGTCCTGCCTGCTTACAGCGCGCAGCTTAGCTCCACTCAGCACAGCTTAGGGTTGTTACTTGGCACCACACGCATACGCAACTCTCTCAGCTCTGCAGCGCGAGCAGGGTCAACTGCCATCAGCAATTTTGGGCTTGGAGGGCGGCTTGAGCACAAGATCCCCACATCAGACGCAACAATGGTCACATGTCAGACAGGCCTGCAGTCCTTGGCTGCACGAATAAACACAACTGGGACTGGACGATGAACTTGGAAACCTTGAGGGTTTGCCAACGGAGCATATGAAGAGGGACACCTTCTAAAACATGTGTCCATCTCACACCGAAACTTTGCTGCCGACAGTCCCCCCGCAAATGCTTTGGCCTTTGTCGTCGGACCTTCCCACATAAAAAGCAGCTTTTGCCAAAAAAGAGCGGACGGCTCTCCTCTTGCTCTCCTGCTCTCCTGCCATAACTTGAGGTGACTCCTGGTGTTTCGGGCTGCCTCGCCTTGAAAACCACATGTAGGTGGCACCAGCTCCCAGAAGGAGCACCACCTGAAGCAGTGCGGAACTTGCTGGGCTAATGAAACTGAAAACTTAAGTTTAGGGCGGCTACGAACTGGCAAGAGAATGGCAGCACATACCCGTTCATTTTCGTTTGCAGCCTCTGTCCTGTGCCGCTGACTGTCTGCCACGCCATGCTCTCATCTGTCCTCGACTATTCCTCACCTTTTCACGTTACTCTGAGATGCTGAGTTCAAGTCGACAGCGACTCCTGGTAGTGGCATGGATTCGCCTGCCGCGGGTGGCACAACGCTCTGGGGGACAGGAGAGCAGAGCATTCATGCAGACAAGGCCATGTCAATTGGGTGCTGGCTCGGAACTGACCTTTTCATCAACACACAGGAACTGATGATTGCCAGCCAATGAATGCCCGCATTCTGGAACATCAACCTAGCTCAGAAGGCCGACCCTATCCACCTTGAGCCCTTCTTTGAGGGGTGCCATGTCCCTGATAAATCCGGAGCCCTCTCTGCGTGTCGACTAAAAAACTTTGCTGCCGCGTCCTTGGATCTCCTGTTTGGTCTTTCTTTTGCAAACTAGTGAAGCCGCGAAGCTAAATCTTCGCTGCCTCTCGGTGGATCGCCATTCACACGCTGCCATAGTTCCTGGCAAATGCGTGGCTACCTGACCCCAGCGGCCCTGATTACGATCCGAACGACGGTCATACAGAGGTCGAGCGCCCCCAGGAACTCAACAGCCCAACATGATGCAAGACATCATGCTAACGCATAACATATCAATCACACAACGCAACCCTTCATCTTTTCCATGGATGGCAAGCTCGTGGCAGGCGGCATCTGACTGAAAGTGACATGCACAAGCGAAATTCACCTCGGCTTCCTGCCGGGAAGCGTTTGGAACAAGCAAACACCCGATTCAAATTTTTGTGACGGACCCCCCCCCCCCCGCCCGGTGGGACCCTCCCGCCTGTCGGCGGCTCCCCTAAAATCCCCCTTGAGACCCCCCCTGGACCCCCCCCCAGGACCCCTCTGCGAACTGCCGGACGTTCTGAAACTTGTAAGACGCCTCACTTAATGCAACTGCGCATCGTTGAGCCGGCACCATAGCTAGGTGCGTTGGGCCCCAGTCTGAACACGGCCCGAAACGAGCCAGAAAAAAAGAACCAGAAACCCGAAGTCCCAAAAAACCTAAACCAGCCTGATGTCATATTCGGCCTGGTTTTCTGACTCGGCTGCTTCCCATTTTCCGACTCGCACCTCCCAGATTTCTGACTCTGTGCCCGACTCGCGTTTGGGACTTGGATCTCATACATTCGCGCCCAAAGCTCCTCAGCCCAGCGAAAAAAAAAACCTTCCAAGCGCTGCGCCACAGCTCTGCGAAGATTAGGCCCCAGTCGGTATGAAGATGTGTACACACACATGTATGCTGCTCCGCTACCGAAATTCTGCGCGACCCACAACATTGCAGACGTTGGCGCTGCTCATGACACATTGCCACTGTGGAACCATTCGGTTGATTTGCTCGTCATTGCCATACCCATTGCGCAAGGC